AAAAGAAGGGAAAAAAGAACTATAGATGCTCAGTTAAGACATTAGCAAGGCCTATAATTCAATAAAATATGAGATGCTTAACAAAACTATATATTGAATCAAAAATTCCAAGCAAAATCCATAACATTATTATAAAATATATTATAGAGCATACAAGCCAAGTAATTATACAACATGAACTAACAGAGCCATTTATCATAAAACAGGATATTGATCAAGATGATACTATATCATCTCTACTCTGGCATATATATTATAATTCACTTATTACAAAAATAAAGAATTCCAAACTGGGATATACCATGGAGATCAAAACTTCTATAACATGTTTTGGAATATAGAACTATACAAGATTTACATCTCTTCAATCTCATATATGGATGATACAACCTGATTTACAAACTCAAAAAGCAAGATACAAAAGATTCAAAACATGATTGAAAACTTTATCAACATTATAAGCCTTAATATAAATTCTAACAAATCTATTCTCCTAACAATAAATAATACAAAATCTGTCTCCATTATTTTTCAGGAAGATACAATCCAGATACAAAACAAAAAGACAATTACAAGAATACTTAAAACATAGATAACAAGTATATGCTTAAAGAAATATCAGAAACAATCAATCCTAAATAAAACCTCCTTCATTATAAAACTTCTCCAGTAGAAAAAAGTTACAGATAAATAATTCAGATATATAATCAACCAAGTCCTTATATTAGTACTCAAATATCTTATTCAAAATACTGTACTGATTCAAAGAGAATGTGATCAAATTAATAGTAGAATTGTATTAACCTTCAAATACAAAGTTGGGCTTCCTTCAATAGTTATTAATAGTGGTATTTATTTATACACAGGATATAAAATTTTCAATATCTATAATAGATAGTTGAAATTATAAATAACAAGATGAATTCAAGATCTCAATAAGAAAAATATAACAGGATAGATTACAAGAGCAAGACTTCAATAACTACAGAATTGGACATGGTCAATTTATAATAGGGCTCCTAATGGTATCACTTCGATACCACTTCGATATCAGTTCAATACTTAAATTACTATAAATTCATATGAGTGGGTCACAACCCATATATTAAATTTACTATAAATTGATACCATTTCGATATCATTTTAATATCAGTTTGGTACTTTTTGGAGTTCTAATTTATAATATCTTGGATATACAATACAGGATAATAAAACTATATTGCCATAACCTTACAATGAATATTCTTTATCTTTTGAAGTCAAACAACCTTTACATTAAGATAACAAAAAACTTCAAGCTAACCACTCCTATATCAAAAAATAATTGAAATTCTTTAAAAGACTTCATACTAAACTTATAATATAACAAAAACAGAGATAACTTAAGAAAACATAATCTTATATTTATTGAACAAGCAACCAATATTACAAACTCTCATTGTATCATATAAACACATTTCAAAATCTAATAGAGGCAAAATATATAGGACAGAAGTCATGCTGATATGAAGAAATCACTTATTGGTTTCAAGAAAAAGAAGATTATTATACAAAAATTACCATTAACACTTTTGCTACATGTGATCTGGCTAATTAGAATAATATCTAACATCATTGATATATTTTTATGATTATTGATCACAACATTTACATAGGAAAGGTCAACAAACAGATCAAAATATTTAATAACAAATTCAAAGCACAACACTTTATACAGATATCGGGAGATTCTTTTATTAAAAAATATAGTAGGTATGGAATAAATGTATAAGGAAAACTGAACAAATGTATCAAGAAGATTAATACCAAAGAAGCAATTGTCATTCTAGTCAAAAAAATAAAAAACAGCTTAAAACTATACAACTTCATAATAGGCAATCTCCTGAGTTCAAGTATCATCAAACTCTATTAGACAAATTCACAATTGAAATCATATATCATTAGAAGCAATGAATATTTCACAGATTATTATCAATAATACAAAAAGTAATACAACTGATATAGAAGATCTTGAAGGACTCAAACTACTATATAAAATTAAAAAAAAAACTCAAAAAAATAAAAAGAGTATTTCAGGACTAGAGAACTATAGACATCTTCATAGATGGCTTACTAGACAAACATATCAATTGGCAAGTCAAAATAGATATAGAAAAGATTATCATCAATCAAGAAACATAGACACAAATCAAATTTAAAGGCAGATGTGAAGGGTTTCTATTATCTATTAAAGCAAAACTCTTAGCAATCCTCATAACTTTAATAATCATAAACACAAATACAATAGCAATAATATATATAGATAGCCAAAATATAATACATGCAATTCAATTCAAGCTTTTCAGAAAACAAAGACTAGTGAAAACAATAAATCTTCTAATAATAACCTTTATAAGGGACAAAATCCAATTCAGAAAAGCAACAACAGAGCTTAGGAAAATCAAAGCTTATGTAAGAAACAGCAATAATGAAAAAACAGATATTTTAATAAAGGAAGAAAAAGAGCTTGAATATGAGTGAATGGTCAGAATCAAAAGTTAACATATTGATAGCTTGATTTGCACATTGTAATAGAACAAAGAAAACTTAGGCATTAATATCAGTGGATTCATAAAACAATGACAAAATAGCAAATGAATCAATGCATGGGCTATATAAAGGAGACATAAGGCATGATTAAGAACAGGCAATGAAAAAAAAATAAACTGAAAAAAAATATGAGCTAGTTTGTTACTATACATGTGGTGGAATTGAATTCGGACATTTTTCAAAAACCGTATTATGGTAGAATTACTAAGTAACATATAGTAAATAATTGGAATTCGTATTTAATTCGGAATCGTATTGTCGATCAAATTTCCTTTTATGGTAATACAACCACATGTATGTTTGTTACCATCAAAAATTACTAGCTTCAAGACTAATTAACAAGATCACAATATTAGAATGTTCAAATACAAACTCCTTAATAAGGAACTATCAACAAAAGTTAAGCTGTATAAAAGAAAACCAGATCTCTATAAAGATGGAAAATGCTTTTGATATATTTATCAGGAAATTATAAAGTATATATTTAAAAAACATTATGTAAATCAAATCAGATCAAAATTCTTGAGAATCCTAAAAGAGGAAATTTCAAGCAAAATGAAAGCCAAGAAAAAATTCAATTGACAAAACAAGCTTGAAGGAATAGTAACTGATTTGGAAAGAAATCTCAGATATATAATATAATTAAAGGAATTTTTAGCAAAAACCTAACTTCATTAATAGAATAATTAAATGAAACAAAAACAAAAGATATATTAAAAAAGGTAATAGATAGGATAACAAAAGTACTTCAAAAACTATAGGCAAAAAGATATGAATGATTCCAACAATAGGAAATTAGCGAAAATATTAGTAGAATTGATAAAAGAAGTAAAAACAAAGGGTACCTACACAATATAGTCAATTTGAAATACAATCAAATTATCAAAAAGGGACAGATAGACAAGAAAAAATATCAAATATACAGTATAAGCTTTTAGAAAGCTGGCTAGATTAGAAAAACAATATTATTAATTTTAAATTTTTTTACTTATATAATAATAATACTAATAAAGTCTTGACACATTAGCCTTGACAAGTATCAGTAGAACTAGTCAATAGTAACAAACCGATATGAAAGAAATTCAATATAGCCTAATATATATTTAGAATAATTTATAGATAGTAACTTTTATAAAAGAAGTAATATATGTAAACTAAATAAAACATATTAGGTAAGGCCTAGCTAGTTGAAAAAAAAATTATTTAACTATTAAATTATAATTAATAAAATTTAAATTTGTTAATAAAAATTTATATTAATACTCCAAAAAAGTATCAAACTAGTATTAAAATAATATCAAAATAATATTATTCTATGGTAAATTTAATATATAAGTTATAATTTACTTATAATAAAATTATAATAAAATTAATTTATTGAACTGATATTAAAATAGTATTAAAATAATATTTTTAATAATCCTAATTCATATTTAAGTTTTATTATTTGATTTAATTTATATCATATGATATTTAAATAGACTATAACTATAGTAATAAACTATAGAAATAATAATTTTTAAATTTCAATATTTATAGGTAAATAAATATTAATAAAAATAATTTTTTTTATTTCAAAAATACATTTAGAAATAGCAATTTAAAACAGGTATTTAAACCAATAAAAAATAGTTTATACAATACAATAAATTATATTATTTGTTTTTTGTAAAGATACTGTATAATAAACAATAAACAATATATATAGTATTTGTTTAATTATTTTTTTAGATTTTTTATTTAATTGTTTACATTTATAGTATACTGTATCTTGATAATTAAAAGAATTACTAATATACTTGACAATCTATATTTGTTTATATAATAATTTGAAAAGTTATTTATATATTACAAATTATATATTAAATTTATTTTCAATATACAGTATATTATTATATTACAACATAAAAAAATTGAAATTAATTATTGTTGATATCGATAGCCTCTTCACCTCAAAAAAAAACAAATCATTGTTTCAATTTGTACTGGTCGGAAATACGGTAAGTGTGCTTTTTAAAATAATAAAAAAAAGAACACCATTTTGCATTTTTATTTATTTATTTATTGTTGATCTGGATTCAGTAATAATTTTTTCCGATGTACTATATGATTTTCAATGTAAATTATCTTCATCGATAACATAATTAATTTCATCGTAATATCGTTTTTACAAAAAATTAACAATTATTATTAAGACAAAATTAAGATTAATATTTTTTCTCTCGATTTAATAATCCATAATTCGGCTAAAAACACCATCAATAAATTATTAGCGTATTTTGTTAAATAACAATTTGCAAGATTAGTAAAATGCCAAAAATGATTATTATGAATTAAATTAAATGGTGAATTAATAGCATTACTGGGAATAAGATTTTTATTGGATCTACAGAATAAAAATTTAACAAATTTCAATATCGACCTCCTCCCTCATGTAGATCAGGCATTTGAATGTCTGCTGGAGGAGTTATTGAATCAGAAAAAGGTAGTTTATCGCCAAAGCGTTTTCTATATTTTCTCCAGTGTCGAAATAGCAAGAAAGATATTATACATAATGTTGAAACACTGATAACTGCGCCAATAGTAACGCCTAATATCAACGCGGTGTTGACAGGTATAAATTTACTATAGGTAGTCTTTGAACTGGAAGGTTGGGTACTCGTGGATAAATCACTAGATTGAATGGTATCGTAACTTGTTTTGGTTGGGGAGATAGATTTAAATGCGGTCACCCATGCGTAGCTGGTAATGTCAAGAATATAAATATCGGACGATGCACCACGCGATGTACCTTGAGTTTTGTTTCCTAAGAATTTTAATTATGATTTGAGCTAAAACGAAAAGAAAGAAAACTTTATAGATCATATGGGAAGGATAAATACCGAAGGCAACTATCATGTAATTTTCAATTAACGTGGTAGAGTGGTAAGCGAGCACAGGGGGAGGGGTTCCTGAGGCATTTGGAGTCGACCATTGGAACGGTGAAGTTGAAGTGTCAAGAACTGCTAAGTCAGGACTTGCTGGTGTGAGTAAATTATCGCTTACACCGCCATAAACAATAATACGTCCACTCGGTGCTGACAAGGAGATCAAGATTTCAGAATATTTTCAAAATCATACGTTTTTTATGCGTTGATGAAAATTTTCTCACCGAGCACAGCGCTGTGACCTGCACGCACTCCAGGGATGGTTCCAACGGTGGTCTTTTAAAAACAAAGAAAATTTACTAACTGCGAGAGTAATTAAAATTACCCCAGAGAAAGAAAGAAAGAAACAAAATTTATTCTTACGATCAACCTCCAATAACCTTTATTTGTATCGTAGGTCCAAATCTAGATGTGTGCAATTTTTAAATAGAAATATATTTTTTTTAAAAAATAAAAAAATAGATTACAAAATATACCAGATACGGTCAACAAATTGTGCACACCTGATCCATCCTTTTATAAGTAATATTTGTTCCGGAAGCCGAATCGCTTTGTCTTCCGCCAATATACAGGATAGTACCGTTTGATAGCATGGTAGCGGTAAAATCAGCTTGTGGGGGAGGAATATCGATACCAGAAGTCTCGACGAATAACCAGGATAAATTTGAAATATCTAAAATGGACATATCATTAAACCAGGTTGTGGATCGGGATCCAGTCAACGGATCAGTTAAACCACCAAAGATGAACATTTTTCCCGAGTTATCCTGGACGACAGATAGTTCTCTTCTTCTTTCAGGAGGAGTATCCGAGATTGAAGGTTTAGTCCATTGTTGAGTTTTCGTGTCAAAAGCGAATACCAAAGTATCAGAAATCACTTCTTTGGTCAAGTTATTTTGAGTTATTCCTCCGAACAAATAGACAATGGAACTGTTCACCCCTCCACCGTTGACTTGCCAACAAATTCTCTCGGGTATGCTGGCAGTCTTTGTGAGGTCAGTCCACGGTATGTTGTCGGTATCAAAAGAGGTTGATATATCCAGATAGTAAACGCTACTCTGACAACTCTCGGTACCGTCCGAATCTTTAGCCAGCCCACCAAAAAAAAATAATCTTTTATCGACTAATATGGAACTAACGGAATATCGAGGAGAGGGAACGAAAGCTGAGTCTACGCGCAAGATGAGAGTAAATAAAATCGCAATGCAAAGTGGATGATGACGTAGAGGATTGTTGAAATGAAAATTTTTTGAGGATGTCATTTGAAAGAGTGAATGTAAGTGGTTGTGATAGAGATAGACAGAATTGAGTTTTGATGAAAAATAAGAGATTAACAACCAGGAATAATAATAACAAGGAAAATTCTTTATCATTTCAAAACCATTATCATGGACCAGGAAGTTACCATTAGCTTTTTTTACCTCAAACGTTTTTATCTTAAAAATGGGTAACAAATAAACTTGTATTACAGATGTGTTAATGGACACCAATAAAATTTGATACTTTTAATCGATTCCAAATCAGTAGAACACGTAACGATACTAGTCACACTTGGAAATTTGTCTTCTTATTGACTGCATCATCACTATTACTTTTCTTTAAATAATCACTGGACTACAAACAATCTTTTTTAATTTTCTACATATGTTTTTTTCGCAGATCTGTTTTTATCTTCAATTAGACATTAACGCCAAGAGCTGAGGTGGTACATTTCCTTCTTAAGTAAACATGCGATTTTCTTAATCAGTGAATCAGTGTAAGGTTTTTAATTTTGTCTTCATAAATGTTGTGAAAAATGTGCACATGTGATTGACAGTGGTAGCAATTCGAAACAGCGAAACGCGTGTTACACAGGATCCTTGCTGCAGGACCAAAGCCAGGGTAAGATTAAAAAAAGAAAATTTGATTTTTCCAGATAAGGTATCAATAAGCGAACATCAAGAAGACCCTATTTCTTTCTTGGGAAAAATTTTTGAATCAAGAATTTTTTAGTTTATTGATAAAGAGAACAATACAATGCATGTACTGTTTATTTTGAAGTCATCAACATCTTAAAGGTATAAAAGGTATAATAATGATTTTTTAAATCATTGACAAGATTAAATTGTTAATTGCATGTTATATGAAGACGTACAGCGTAGTAGTAGATCATACACATAAAATTTTTAAATCATTATACAGTAACAAATATAAATATGTTTTCCTATAATCATAATGGTTTTTAGTTTAGCGGACAATAATAATACTGTATATACAGTATGTACTGTATTGGAAGTTAAATAAACTGGTTGATAAAAATATCTTTACAATAAACATCGACACTCAATTTCATTATTGCATTCTAGTTTCTAGTTTTAACTGTTATCACGTGAATATGGATTGCATACGCGTTTCTAATTTTTTTGATTAAAATATTCCCAAAGACATCTCACACTTGACTAGAGATGTGAGAGATGCAGTTATAATAAACTTTGATCGTATTCGTCGTAATGAATCAGTGACATAAATATTACAGGGTAAGATTATTTTTTTTCATCAGCAAATCATGAAAAATTTTGATCCGCGTCAAGTGTAATTTTGCTTAAAAAAAAAAAATAATAAAATTTACTTTTTATTCACACCTAAACTCTTCATCTAGCCTAAGATCGATCTTTTGAGTTTTATTTTAAGTATCTCTTAAATGTTACATCAAAAAAATTTTTTTTCAAAAATTTTCGTTATTTTTTGGAAATGACAACAAATTCTCTATTTTCTTTATCAACATACAATCCGACTTGTAGCGTCTCCACCGGGTACGACACGGATCATTCTACGAGCACATTGTCCACGCTTTCTTCAGAGGACTTCCTTTCTTCGACTGCAAGTTCTACTTCGGCATCTCCCTCGCAACAGTTTTCGGCTACCAGCTCGACAAGTACCACGCCAATAATCGAAAAAAGTCATCTACAGGATGATGCCACTAATGAGAAAGAATCGTTAGAAGAAGGATTTGACGGTGATAACATTGATTCTTTAGCGGTGTCACCATTCGCACAAAGAGCTCTAGAATTAGAATTTATGGTGAAACAACTTATAATCACACATACACCCAAACACCTTCAACCCCATTTATTAAATTCTCCTACGGCCGCTGTTGAAATTAATACAAATGATATAGATAGCAAACGTTTCCAAAGTGCATCTAAAAATTTACAATTACTGAACAATTATGAAAGTTATGAAATAATGAATGCTTCTCAAACTCAAACTCTGAATTCTCCACAGATCCTTTTGCATTCTTCGCGCATCACTACCACCACCACCACAACCATTTCATCTTTTCAACAACAATTTATCGATGATGATGCTTATTACATTGATGATGATTTTTTTTA